ATCAGGTAGCCGCATCTGGCTCAAGTGTGCACGCACAAGTGGCCGTGCCCGCCCGCGAGAGCTCACCTCCACTTCGTCCGGCGGTTCTGGAACCAGGTTTTGACCTGCGCGTCGGTCATTTTGAGCGCTTTGGCCAGGGCGGCGCGCTCGGCCGAGGCCAGGTACTTCTGGCGGTGGAAGCGCTTCTCCAGCTCGCATATCTGCAGGCGCGTGAAGGACGTGCGTGGCTTCTTCTTCTTAGGGGGCGTCCGGTTCTGATAGGGGTGACCTATACGGCGTGTTACAGTGAAGGGTGAGAGGGCCACTGGAGCGGGAGACAGACAGACGGCAGAGGCAAGCGGCAGAGCGTCAGGAGGCGTCCCAGACCCGACACCCCGCGAATCAGCGAGCATGGGATCGCAGAGCTGGGGTGTGAGTGAGCCCCCCAACCGCCCACAGTGTCAAGCGCGCAGCAGGAACGGCCCCTCCCGCCTCGCCGACGCCGATACAGTCGCCACCACGGAAGCCTCTCTAGCCCCCACCCCCACCCCCACCCCGCGGACTGACCGGGCTGGGGCCGCCTCCAAGCTCCTCTAAGGGGGAAATCTGTAGAGAGTTAAAGGTCGCAGTTCCAGCAGGCTCAGGTCTCCAGGCTCATCCCAACATTAAGAGGCCCTGCTCAGCAAGACTCTCAGACCCAAGCGTCCTCCACACAGCAACACAGGCAGACACAACACACGGCACCAGCCAAAAACTTGGAGATCTAGAGCCCAGTCCGTCGGGGCAGCAGGGCCAGTTAAGCACAGACTCAGGCAGGGCCACTGGAGTCAGGCTTCAGCCATATTCTCCAGGAGGAAAGCATCGGCCTGAACTGGACTGTGGCTTCCTCTGGGAGGCCTGCTGTTGAGTAGCACTCCCCAGAGATGGAAACAGTAGGTGACTGGAGTTTAGTGAAACCCATCGTCTTGGCCAGGCTTAGATGGGAAGAGAGGGGTGGGTGGTAGGCCCTGTCTACTATCTCCCCAGACCTGGGAGGACTGAGTGAGGGTCCAGAGGAGAGGTGCTGGGGCCCTGAAATGAAGGGTCCTTCCTGAAGACCCAGAGAAACAGCAGTTCTCCCTCTCTTTCCACTTCCTGCCGCTGACTCAAAAGTCAGGGCCCAGGTTTCAGCGGCAGTAGGCCTGCCTGGGCAGCCTGGCCCAAGAGCCAGGGCCTGGAGTATGTTGGTGTCTCCTAACCCAGGGTCTAGCTGGAAGCTGCCTCTCCCACCCTGGCAATGTGTCCTTCACCCTCTTCTACCCTTGGGTCCTGGAGCCTGGCAGTTCGGGAGTCCTGGGTTGCTTGGGCAGCAGCGTGGGCCTCCTACCTCCCACCTCTAAGGCCCAGTCAGTGAGCCTGGGCTCAACTCATGTCTGCTTCCCTGCAGGGCTTGGTAGCCTGAACCAGGGAAAGAGGGTCGGGGTCTGGAATTGGCATACTTGAAGAGGAGCTAGAAGAGGGGACTG